TCTCGAGGCACTCTGGATTAATTCCAGAAATCCGNGCGTAGTTGAAATACCACCGAGTAATCTTAAGCGCCAGCTAGTTCGTAACCGCCTATATGACCGTCTATGTGCAACTCAAAACTGCATATTTTGCCCCAGTGGTAGAGACGGTGATTGCATGAGCTCGGGTATAGTTTATCTGATCTCCTGTAAGACGTGCAGTGACGAATACATTGGCGAAACGGGCAGACCCCTCTGTGTTCGCATGAAAGAACACCTAGCCGGCAAACATAGACCAAATACTCCGCTAGGCATGCATAGGACCCAGAGACATAACGGGGAGGACTTTGAAGTATGTGTCACGATCCTTGCACGCGAATCAAGAACACAGGCGCGAAAAACTCTCGAGGCACTCTGGATTAATTCCAGAAATCCGAAAATGAACAGCAGGGAAGAATGCCTCATTATCACGTGTGATATAGGGCAGTATATAAAACTGCTTTTCTGATGTGAGGGGCACATTATACTTCCATGTGATTTCTGTGCGGTTGGTCTCTACGTGACATACTTAGTGGAGACCTCATAGAAAGCGGTGAGTGTACAAAGCTGTGTTCAATATGATTGAAATCTTGGTTTAGAGTTTCTTTGTTTGGTTATGGAGGCGTCTGGCCAAGTAGATTGCTGTCAACTTGACCTTTCCAGGCTCTGAGGAAGGCGAAATCCGCCGAAACGTCAGCTCATTCGTGAATAGAGAATAATAACACCTCGCGTTTGCTCAACAAAAATACGAAGAATTACTTGATCAATGCCGAGGTTAATAGAAAGTCGGTGGTGGAAGTTACAACTCAGTTTCTCTGAAACCACTTATTTCATTCGACTCATTTTGTCGTAAATGTCAACCATGAAAGTCTTCCGTGTACGACTTTGTTCAATTCCATGATGAAAACTTTGTCGTCTTTGGAAACGTCGTTGAATGCGGTTCCTCACATCCGGGCATGGCTTTACTCGCGCGTTTCCACTAAATCGCCATAAACTTTCGCCGGCTTTAATGGACTAGAAGGAACTTTTTCCAAGAAAACGTGCTGCGTATTGGTCAACGCTGGGTAAATCAGAAGCTTCGTTAATACAGGACGAAATTGAACAGGCAGGTGACGTGCGTGTTTTCCACAGTACCTTCATTCCTTTCGAATTCCTTATCCCCATTACAGCGTTTACTACGAAAAATTAGAAAAATGTACTCATAAATACAAGCAATTTTCATTCTCTTCATCTAGTCATGAGTAACGGTGCACAAGCGATTTCATTTTTTCCAGAAAAGATTTTTTCACACGGCTTCACATCTACTGCACAGATCCCAATAGTTCTTTCATCCGATTCCTTTCCTTGCATTCGTCACCTACGGTGAACTTCCAGCTTTGTTATGCTCGTCGCTTCGGGTGTTGCTTGAGAAATTTCCTTTCCTTATTAATGTGGTTGAGTGCTAGTCGACTAGATTCTCCATAAAGTCCCGAAATAGCCTTTCTAGAGCGCTACCACTTGCAATGTGAGGAGGGAAGCTATCCCAAACAAGCCTAGTACCAATGCGTCGTTTTCTTGTTCAGCAATCGCGAGGCTTTTAAACAGCCTACATTTACTTCCATGGAGAAACACAATACAATACAACGCTAGCTGACGTTTCGGCAGTATCGCCTTCTTCAGAGCCTGGAAGGGTATACTGATATACAATCTACTAGGCCAAACGCTTCAATAACACTTACAAAAAGACGAAAAACTCTTTGGTAATTACACGATCAACAACTTCTCGAAAAAACCCACCGCTTTTTCGTGACTTCCAATGAGGAAGTTTAGAACAGTTGATTATAGTCGCCTGTGGTTGACGACTGCACCATCCCACATGAAAAATCGATGCGAACATACGGGATCAGGTCGCGTATGACCTCCGGGCATTCGTCCCTGCTACTCATTGCTGGGTTTTTGGCATTTATTCAAAAATCCTCAAGGAGTTTTCGTGCAGGTGTTTTGAACTCCTGTGCAAGGATATTGACTTTTACTTCAAAATCGTCTCCGCTATGCTTTTGTATCCTATGCGTGCCTAGTGGGGTGCTTCGTCTTAGTTTTCGTTTGCCATCTAGGTGTTCTTTTATACGGATACACAAAGGTCTGTCCGTTTCACCAATATATTCATCTCCGCAATTATTACAAGAGACTAGGTATATCGTACCTGAACTCACGCAATCACCGTCCCTGCCGTAAAGGCAAATTACGCGATTTTTTGTTTCACACAGACGGTTATACAGGCGGTTGCCAACTAATTGGCGACGTAGAGTAGTCTGTGGTATTTCAACTATCGCTGCCGATTCCCCTAGACCTGCCCTTCTTAAGCGCCGTTTGATAGCTACGCTTACTTCATCGCCTATAAAAGGCAACATAAACTGGACTTCTTTTTGGCCAAGTGTTTCGCGTGGGCGCGTCGTTCTCCTTGTAAATGTTACTATTTCGTAGCCATTGGAGATGGCTATTTGCCGAGCCAAGTCGCGCGATTCTTCCTTTAGTTCCCTGGTAGTGCAAACTCCTCGGGGCTTTTTGGATAAATGCCAAAAACCCTACAATGAATAGCGGGGATGAATGCTCAGAGGTCATACGCGACCTGATCCCGTATGTTCACATCGATTTTTATGGTGGGATGGCGCAATCACACATGCGACTATAATCAGCTGTTCTAAACTTCCTCATTGGAAGTCACGAAAAAGCGGTGGGTTTTTCGAGAAGTTGTTGGTCACATGCGACTATAATCAGCTGTTCTAAACTTCCTCATTGGAAGTCACGAAAAAGCGGTGGGTTTTTTCGAGAAGTTGTTGGTCATGTAATTACCAAAGAGTTTTTCGTCTTTTTGTAAGTGTTATTGAAGCGTTTGGCCTAGTAGATTGCATATCAGTATACCCTTCCAGACTCTGAAGAAGGCGATACTGCCGAAACGTCAGTTAGCGTTGTATTGTATTGTGTTTCTCTATGGAAGTAAATGTATGTTGTTTAAAAACCTCGCGATTGCTGAACAAGAAAACGACGCATTCATATTCCAATGCCGAGGTTAAGAGAAAGTCGATCCTGGGACCTAGTACCAATGTTCGGTCCCTGGAGGCCTGAGAAGCTTGGTGGGCCCGGAGTGGCATCGAACTAGCACCATTCTCGTCCTGACCAAAATCACTACCATTGCGGCACCTGCCCCAATTATATATAAATGTCTGGTTATTACGAGGAAAGCTCTAAATGACTTCATAGCTCAGCTCAGAGAAAGTGAATTACTTAAGATTCAATCGAAAGCTGATTATCATCGTCGGCATGACACTGTGGCTGGCTGCCGTCGCCAGCTCTTCGTTTGTACCCGCTCAGGTCAGTTCCATGATGGTCTCTTAATGAAGATGCAGGAATTAGTGAGTGGTAAAACACAATTTTTCTCATTGATCGAATGCGTTACGCTTTCTAGTTCTTCCTTTTTTATTAAGTTGGCATTTCATAAAAAAGATGCTTCGTCTTTAACCTAATATTTTCTTTACCTCCTCTTCTTTTATCTTATATCTTTTTAACTCTTCTTGGAATGAAGAAAACATAGTCATCACTATTTTTTTAATCTCATTTCTATCCTTTTCCCTTTTATCCTTCTTTTCTAATTTTATGTCCTATTGAATTTTTCTACATCGCATATTTAACATAGTATCATACGAAGTGGTTTCTTTAGTATTTCTGGATCTTCCTACTTTTCCGTGGTATCGTCGGAATCGGTGAGGCGTCCTATGCAAGCGTTTGTCCGTCGATTATCTCTGATATGTTTTATGGCAAGGCGAGAAGTCACATGTACATGTTGTTCTACCTTGCTATACCAGTAGGAAGGTTAATCAGTTTCACTCCTACACGCCAACAAACGAAACTGTTATCCAGCCGTTGTGGCATAATAATGCAACGTAGTACAAGAATAAGTGATGAAGTGTTCGGAGTAAATCAAGGCTTTGGTGATGCACCACGCATTCAACCCCATTCATAGCATCACAGAGGTAGTTGAATACGTGTTTGGCCTGAACAATAATTTGCAGGACCTACTTCCAAATATCAGTGGATACTTTCCTCCTATACTTATTGGTGAGAGGTGCTCTGCAATACACACGCTTTAGTTGATTCGCTCTCATTTCTTAGGTAGACTAAGTTTTTTTTTCTATTTCTTCGGAGTCAGCAAAATGGTTATAGACCAGTGGAAACACTAACTGCTGCATAGATGGGCTTGTATAGATCATCACCGTCAGGAAACTCTAAACGCCGACCACTTTATCTTTATGCTTGTCCCACTGGGAATTTTTATTTCAGTGGGCTCGGTTTCGTAGTGGGAACAAAAGTCGCTAGTTTAATGGGTGCTTGGCAATGGGGAATACGAATCAGCGTAATCGCAGGTGAGAAAAACAGAACTTTTCACAATTTATGCTGTTTACTACGTATCGAAAAGAAAAATTGAGTTTGAAGGAATTATTGCGTTGGTGTTGCTGGTTGTGCTTGTCAGCGAACCGAAACGCGGTGCAGCAGAAGAAGTTGTGGGAGCAAAACTGCAACTCGATGGTGCATCGTCGTTCTGGCAAGATATCAAATCCCTGGCTTGCATGTAAGTATTTTTAGAGACCGTTGAAAATTCCAAAGCTTCAAGGTACTAAATTCTTTTAGACCAACATTTCTTCTATGCACTTGTGCCTACGCTGCTTTGGTATTCGTGACAGGAACATTGACGTGGTGGGAGCCAACAATTATTAAGCACTCAATCGCCTGGGATCTGGGTCTTAACGACACTCAACTACTTCCGAATAATAAAAAGAATGAGTAAGTGTAAATGATTTATGCAATAAAGCCAAGTATATATATGTACATTTCTGGTCGTGAAGGATGGGGGGCTGCAGTGGCTAGTGACGCCTTAGATCAGAAAGCGAAAGCACTAGCTCGAAGCCTTTCTCAACACTCTTCTCCAATTCATGTAGAAACGCCTTACCTCAGCTATATTCAAGATGGCAAGGAGAATTAGCTTGACCAGCTTCTACGACATTGGTAAAAAAGCCAAAATCCTCACGCAACAGCCAAAGCAACGCGAAATGTTCGCAGATCATTGTAGAGGATAAATGCGACTGAAACGAATCGGATGCAGCAAGTTCCGCACAGTAGATGTGATGATGGGTTATGTAAAAGAAATTGAAAATAAATAAATACTCGGTCACAGGTCTGACATTCGCTCAGTATCAGCTGACGACCTCGACCTGGCTTCTAGAATCGCTAAACAGGTTTGCTCTTGTTATGCACCTTTATGCCATCATACGGGTTTTAAAAATTAGGAAAAGTGCTCGAAGATCTTGCGGTTTTAAAAGAACTAAATCAGGATGCAGTTATACCCTAAGTTGCTTAGGAAACTGCATCTAACACATATTTAAATTGCTGAGCTTACACGAGGTTGATAAAGGTGTTTATTCCGCTAACGTTTCGACGTCTTCGTCTTCATCAGAGCCGATGATCCGAGTCGGTGGTCCACAGTAGTTCCTCTTCCGGATGTGGAGTCTTCGTTGTCGTACCGAGAAGGATGTTCTCGTCCGTGGAATCACTGCACGAATGAGACATGCTTACCCAGCAGTGCTCTTCATGCAGGGCGGTTATTATTGATATGATTATCCGTTGATAATAATTTGTTTTTCAACGGATAATCCACCCTGCAGCAGTCGGTATTATGTTAACTGTCACACAGCGAATAACTGAACAATTCTTAAACCGACCGTCATTTAACTTCGGTGACAAAATAATCAACATGTTTTTAATACATTAAATGTATGTTTAGTTTTGCTGCAGAGAGCATTATCCGTTGAAAAGCAAATTATTATCAGCGGATAGTCATATCAGCAATACCACCCTTTGCAGAAGCCATGCTTACTCGGCAATGCAGAAGGGCATTGCCGAGTAAGCATGGCTCATTCGTGCGGTGGTTCCACTGACGAGAACATCCGTCTCGGTACGACAACGATTACTCCACAACGAGGAGAGGGACAACTGTGTACCATCTACTCGGATCATCGGCTCTGATGAGAACGAAGATGTTGAAACGTTAACCAGATAAATGAATTTATCCACCACGTCTAAACTCAGCAATTTAAATACATGTTGATTACTTTGCTACCAAGGTTAAGTGATGGTAGGCTCATGAGTAGCTTAGCTGCATTCACTCAATGAGGGTCAGTGAAGATATAAGTGGAATGGACGCAAATAAATCGCTTAGAAAGCTTGCTCCAAATGGTTCAAATACATTGTTGTTTATCTAAGCACACTCCGGGCACCCAACAGCTAAACAGCTAACCACTATCGGATAGCAGAGAAGTTTTTGGGAATGTGAAGCATATTAAATTTAGTGAATGGACGACAATTTCAGTTTTCGCCTTTAACATTTATTTAAAAGGTCATTAGAGGCCAAATTTTAACACTAATAGATTAATAAGTCTCGGTCTGTTCTGTTGAAATCAGATATGCTGGAATTTGTACACTTTTTGCTCCCAAAGGCTTGTTTTTCAGCATTGGTTTGATTTTCGGAGCGATCATAGCCGTATCAGGTCTTATCGGTGTTTCAGTGGGAATGCTTCTATCACACGTGAGTTTACAAGCCAACATTATCGCTGATTTGAAACTACTCCGTGGGCTGAACAAGAAAATGTGGTCGGCCAGTTAATACCAGATTCGACTGAGAGAAAAACACTGATTTGTTTCATAGCTATATCCTGCAAGGATTGATGCAGGCAAAATATGCATTCGATCACCTCTAAATGTTCAAACACGTGATGCATCTCTGTGTTTCATTAAACCGAAAAGACTTATGCTTTTTATCCTTTACGTGCTACATCATTTTACACACAAAAATACGATTTTCCGAATTTTTTGTTCGCTGTTAATTATACACTTATTCAGATTCTTGATTTCAGATGATACGTCAAGGTCGTGGTATTTTTCGTGCACTTAAAACCGAACGAGCGCCACCGATCGTTTCCGGAGTGGGAGTGCTAATCACTGCACCGATTCTACTTCTCATGAGTGTACTTGGTCATAAGAGCCTAACAGCTCTATTGGTGCGGTTTTGTCTGTGATTCGAACACTGTTGATCCAAGTTTTCTCACACTGGTTGATAATTTACACTGTTCTTTAGAGTTTGATGTTCATTGGAAGCACATGTCTCAGCTTCAATTGGAGTCTCAATGTTGACATGCTCATGGTAAGTGAACAGTGAATGGATTTCCTATCTGTTTTCGATCTACTGCAAATGTTGGATAAATTAACACGAATATTTGAATATTCGATGTACTGTTCAGATCAGGATACCTGGTGAATAAAGTTCCCTTTAATACTCACACACTCACTGATTGGATTTCACGCCCTTGAATAACCAATGCACTCAGGATTGGTAATTTAGAACCCGACTTGTTTAGGAGAACAAAACTAGTGACTTGGTTCTTTCATTGAGACCCACAAGTCATTGTGTAAGCATAGGCCAAATGTACATTCAACCGCCTCCACAGTGAACAACCGAGTCAGATTTCAGACACATCCGTAAATAACTGATCAACGGCAAGCATTTTATCTGACATAATTCAAATCATGAAAATTTATAAATGCGCTCAGTAATCGCATACTTTTGATTTCACTACCTTAGTACATTTATTGAATGGATCCTTGAGTTACTTTTTTCAAAATGAGTTACGCCTGTTCTTCAGATTTTCAAAGTATATGCATTTTGCTAGTTCTCGAGGAGGTCGTGCCAGAACAATACCTGATCGCTGCCAAAGGCAGCCAGTGGTTCTTTTACTTGATAAGAGGAAGATTGACTACTTTCTGATTGTGTGTTTCTCAAAGCAACATTGATTCCTTATGAAGAATTGTTTTGTTAAAGTTCGGGAAGATAATGACTAACCAATTTTTGGAATGAATCCTTGTCCTACATTGCAGTTCTGTAAACAGAAGTATCCATTCTTTCCTCGTTGTCGCTTAACTCGATAAGCGAAATATTTTCGGCTCAAACGATTTATTTGGATGCTTGGATGGCTCGCCTTCACTTGTTCTGCAGACTAGGGAATAATTTCCGTTTTTGGCATTTGTTAGTTAAGCATCGTGATCCCCTTGAGTCCCGAGATCAGCGTACCTGAAACCTTCCTCAGGTCGTCACCACTTCAGGCAGTCGTCTCCTTTGTGAATCAGGGAGAGATTCGTCACCATGCGACTAATTTGATACCAGAGCGGTGGTGATTGCTGCTATTCGTTTACTCTTAGCTGGGCTACTGAACAGAAATATTTGACACTTTCTCGGCTTAGGCCGTGCTGAGGGTATGAAAGGGAATGAGCACTGCGATGTACATCGCAATCCGGTATCCAGGAACAACTCCCAGCGACGATGAGAAAATAAACTGTTGGGCGCAGCTTAAACAAATACTCTTGGAAAATTGAACATTTTAGAGCTGGAAAAAATGGAATTTAGAAAATTTTCTTGCTGACACAGAAGAACTGAAAGCGCTTTAGAGCGTTATCGTTCCGTGGCGGAGAAGCACTGCCTTCTCATATTTCATGCTGACTTCACATTTGTTTGGTGATGCTACGGCACCGTATATTATTGGAGCAGTGAGTTGTCATTTACACTTGATATTACCAATTCATCAAGTCTTCACGGCATTTATGACAGTTTCATAACTCTTCTATCAACACTCGATAGAAAATTTTTCGCACTGTATTTACAGCTGCTTAGTGTCTCAAACCGGGGCAATTAATAATTTATAGAAACAATATTAATGAAAGAACAGCGACATATTTGGACTAACAAATATACACCTAAGCAATACAAATAGCGTAGTCAGCACGCAAAGATTAGGGAGTATCATTACTAATAAAAAAATATTTTTTTTACAATGGAGTGCATAGGCAGTAAGAGATAAAGAGGTATTACAAGCCGCTAAAAGTAAGCATAAGCGGGTGAAAGCATAGCAACATGCCAATGAGAACAGGTTGACAAATCAATGATGATTCGTATTCCTCTGAATCGGCGGAGGTGTTGCTAGGTTTTTTGAGCACTAGAGTTATTATTGTAAACGAGCTTCTAGAGTGAGAAGAACTTGCCTCACTTTCGAAAATTTATGTTACGGAACTCGTTCCAGTCATGTTCTTGCGCGGAACACGTGGCATAGCCGAAATGACCTCAGAATACATAATATTCGAGGAAATGCCGTTTGAAACAGTAATAGTATCATGAGAGGTAGAGAATATTAACGAGCGCTATCTATACACATAGAGAATATTCACGAAAGGCTAATCTTTACATAGAGTCGTTGATTTTCTCTAGACACATGGGCGATACTAGCAATCCATTCCCCACTCTAAAGCAATGGAAACGGTAGCAAAGTTTTTTCGAAATATAAAACACTAATTTTACAATTCGCTGTTCTCTTTGTGGACCGACATGAGGCTGTTACTCTATTGTTTATTTATCAACAAGCTGACATTTGGCGGAGTTCGCCCTCTTCAGATCCTCAAAAGGTCAAGTTGACTGCAATCCACCCAGCCAAACATATCCATTAGCAAACACGGAAGATACAAAACCAAGATTTCAACTACGTTCAACACAAAATAGCTCCCACTTCTTCTTGTACAAAGGAACTATTTTGTTTTGAATGTCATTGAAATCTTGATTTAGCATTTTCTCTGTTTAGTTACAGAGATGCTTGTCTGGGTGGATAGCAGTCAACTTGACCTTTCGAGGCTTCGAAAAAGCAAAATCTGGCGAAACATCAGCTTATTTATAAATAAACAATAAAGTAACAACCTCGTACTTGCTCATCAAGAGAACAAAGAATTATTCTATCAATGCTGAGATTAACAGAAAGTCAATTGCGGAAAATATTAACTTCACAGATCGAATGGTCTCAGAGAAGTCATTATATTCGGAAAATATACGCTAAAACATCTCTGTGGTGATAGAAATAAAATCGAATGTACAGTTCATCCAGGAGGGACTGACTGAAATCGAAATCATTATCTCTTTATTTCACCCGAACAATAGGTGATCTACAGCATTGCAATAAAATAAGTAGAGAATTCTGCTACATCTAATGCATTGAGAAAATTGAGCCAAGAACAAAAACATCCCAAAAAATCAATAGTTATTATAAATCTGCTGTTCTCTTTTTTACAGCAATCGCGAGGTTGTTATTCAGCACACGTTTACTTCCTCACAAATATAACACGTACAACACAACGATAGCTGACGTTTCGGCAGTATTGCCTTTTTCGTGGTTTATAATCCAATGCCGAGGTTAATAGAAAGTCAATCTTGGGAATAGTTATTATTTTTGTCTTCAGGTTTCTGATGCGATCCGTGGAAATGTAGATACTCCCAAAGCGCAATACATTTCACTAGTAAAGTCTTGTTCCGTGACCATAGTACTGATCTCTATATCTGGAGTATTCTATATGATCTGTGCTACCGTACTACTTAAGGATCAGATGAAATTCAAAGAAGAAATGGGTGAGTATGATAGGGGAGAGACTGCTCAAATATAATATGTATGTCAATATATATGGCCTATGTTACATATGAACTCCATGCGAGGTTACGATAGTCCTTTCATTGCAAGGGACCTCGAGAGATGAATACAAACGCAGCTGAACTGCAGAGATGTTGAATTCGTTCAGCAGAGGTCTCGCTCCTCTTTCTTAAACTTAAATATTTCACTTAGAGTGTTAATTACTCTAAAACTGAAAAACGTGCTGCCATATTTCTGTTCCACTTAAAAGGATTTGGATACCAAAGTGTTAGTAGTGGTGGCTTTGCCAGTTATCCGATTTGCGCTTCGTCAAATCAATTGTGGTGGAATCAATTATAGTATGATGATATCATGAGGAATAGGACAAATTAAAATATTAGAGGTGTTATCAATGCTATCTCATTCGACTGCAAACCTGCTAAGACTGTCATTGCAGGTATGAAAACGTCGCCTCTAAGGAAGTCAAAATCTTCCAATCCATCCAACAAACATTTTCACCAAGCACCAGAAGAAGAACATTGCGACTTCACAGTGTAGAAAACATAGTCGGTCCAGGAAACTGAAGAAAAGATCCATTTGTTACAGGGAAAAGTTAACGGTCATATGAATGAAATAACAGGAAGATTTTATGGAAACATGTGTATTATAACCGTACCAATCTAATCAATGTCTATACTTTACATTGCTCTACTCGAGACGAAATATGAAATTGGGAGTACATTGCCTATTCGCGCAATTTTTTTTTATTTTTTTTTATTTTTTGTTTTTAAACAGAGGTTTTTAAACAGCATACATTTACTTCCATAGAGAAACACAATACAACGGTAGCTGACGTTTCGGCAGTATCGCCTTCTTCAGAGCCTGGAAGGGTATACTGATATACAATCTACTAGGCCAAACGCTTCAATAACGCTTACACAAAGACGAAAGACTCTTTGGTAATTACACGATCAACAACTTCTCGAAAAACCCACCGCTTTTTCGTGACTTCCAATGAGGAAGTTTAGAACAGCTGATTATAGTCGCATGTGGTTGACGACTGCACCATCCCACATCAAAAATCGATGCGATCGATGTAATATGATACCTAAAAAGTTATTTTTATGCTTTCATCTGTTTAGAGAAGAATGTGAAAAAACAAAGTGTTGTCGACAATGTCTAAAAATCTTGTGTGGTGCATTGTGAAATACGACTGTTCAGTTTAAACAAAAAGTGCTGAAGTGAGCATGTCAGTAAGCCGCTCGCTCTCCTGCAACAGCAGTCAATAGGAGTGGTTAAGGCTAAATGACTGGCATTGGAGGTTCCATGAATCTCTTAGAAAACCTTAGATCATCGTGCCAACGCGTTCTCATTGTTCATTGTAAGCTGTCGCTGTCCCTCCTATAGCTTCGATGCCCCACCACTTGCAGGACGGCAACAACTTCCGCAGTCAGTTGATTAATCGGAGGAAAGTAGTGTAAAAGGCGAAACTCGAGTGCTGTACAGGCAATATAATAAGCAACAGAAGAAGAAATAGAATCTAAGCTAGATCACCAGGTACACATGGCCATCAGTTCAAGACTTCGCCGCAACAATTTAAGTCCACCATCTCTCCGGAATCAACCACTTGGTGCTACACTTGTCTTAAATCACACAAAGGCTCACTTTTTGTACTAGTAAAACTACGAAAGTCATCTCATAAGCCAAGTATATACTCAACCAC